TGTCACCATGGCCAACGATTCTAGTGCGCGAAACGCTGTCCCAGGTCTACTAAAACCTCGCTCCAAACTACACATTGGAGCCTTCAACGTACGTACCCTAAGCCAAATCGGTCAACAGGCCTCCTTAGCTAAAATCTCGTACCACTGATGTATGCTGTGTCTCCGAAACACGCATACAAGACCCAGTGTGGTCATTCACTTGACCTCACCTCGCCAAAATGGACAGCCACCGAAATACACCCTCCGTGTATCTGGCGACCCGTTGGCTAGTTCTCGCGGACTTGCAGGTGTAGGCATAGCATTAAGTACAAGGGCAGAACAGGCACTACTAGAATGGATCCTCGTTGACAGTCGCCTGTGTGTTGTCCGGCTAAATTGCTCCGTAAGAACTCGGAAGGATAGGGACACACGTCGTTGCCTTTTCGTCGTTTCTGCCTAGGCTCCCACTGACTGCAGCCATGATGAAGTGAAATATGACTTTTACAGAAAGCTCTCTGAGCTTCTTCAGAAAGCTAAGCGCTCAGACATAGTAGTCGTAGCGGGCCATGTGTTACGTATACCTGAACACCGATTACCACGACGCTCTATGATGACTAGTATTGGGGATGGTTGGAAGAGAGTTAGGGGCGGCCAAACCAAAACATGGCATCAGTGCTTGAAGTCACTAACTTCTAGCCTGAGTCATGTTGGCAGATGCAGACTACCTGGTTGGGGTCCGCGTGACTATCGTAACCAATGGTTGGAGACTCTAGGTGACATGGCTCAGAATCGATCACAATGGCGTAGGTGTATACACTCTTTATCTTCCCTCAAACCTTGAGATTAAAATTGCTCCATAACTTTCTTCCTTCCTATACTATATCCTTATATACAACCTATAATTTATATACTACCATCACCACTAAATTAACTACTATGAATCCGGTTTTCATCTTGTTGTGCTAACGAGGTATGGCAACTTGGACCGATGCATGTATGTGCCTGGTCCTACGTTGTAGCTGACTGACTAACCTAAGATAACTGTCTCGTCTCGATACTTTGTGGTGATGCGTTAGGTGCTTTATTACAATTAGGGTACACATCAATCAGGGAAAGTTGTTAAAGGACAATTCAATAGTACAACAAAATGTCAGATGTATTGGCTGAGTATAATTTTCTTCTGATATTAGTTTCTCACTCTATCTTATTGATCATACATATTTATTTTATTCATTATGTTAAGGGATTGACCAATCACTTAATAATTGTATTACCCTCACATAACTTCTTTTATATTAATTACAATTACTGGTAACTATAACACTCGTTCTACTCTGCATTATTACTTTCCAATATACCAGTACACGTCGATCTTAATTATATTCATACACCACCTTCTGTACCATTCTCATTATTATTATGATTTTGGTTACGCCTCGAGCATTTATCCAAACATCACAACCCAAAATATATTAAACATTTGTTAATACTTATACTAATAGTTGTAAATTTAGTTCTTATTCATCTTATGATAAATAGTGAAATAGAGTGAGTTTGTTCTCTTAACCTTGTTTTTCTTGCTCTATTTAAATATAATAAATCAAGAATGAATGTTAAAAGGGTCCAAAGCAATATAGGCGAACAAACGAGAAATAAAAATTCGTTGAGAAGTGATTTAGTTGGGTGTTGAATCCTGTTGTAAATAATACAAAATGTAAAGATAGTACACTAAATTATAAATGACTAGCTGTTGTGAAAGTGACAGTATGTAAAATAAACAACTGCTAGCCACTATCCATCTTTACTTACCATGCTTGTGAATTAAGGTTATGTCGAGGCAATAAGCACAGTATGTACATATGTCAATTAGAGACTGACAAGTTGCAGTCCTAACACATCGATGGGAAGATTCAAACAAACAAATGAATCTAATATCTATTTGTTTTGAAATTGGTGTTTTTTGAGTTAAAATGGTGTAAATATAAATTAAGGCAATAAATTACGTTCCAGGTTATATATATATATATATATATTGAATGAAACTAGAATAATGTTATAAATTGTGGCCGCTTGGATGCCCTGTTAATGTATAACCTGATAATACCACCAATTAGGGAGCTTTGATTGTTCGATCGGACCAATGACACAAAACTCGTACGAGCAGTCTAGAGTACTTAGCGGTCCTGCTTTCTGCTTAGCCCAGCCAGTTAAGTCCAGAACACCAATCTCAGCCCCTGTGGTATGAATCCTTATATTTTAAACATACTGAGTTTATATACCAATCAAACAGGCCACATCGTACCATAAAATAGAAAATAACATTTGTACAAGATTCAGCCATAAGTGGCTGCTAATAAGGTGGATAGTAATTAATAGACTGGGTATAATTCAAGGACGGTGGATCGTATAACAATAGTTTATAAGTCAAAATAAGGCTCATAATAAGGGGGACATGAATATGAATAGTTTAGTTATTCAGCAGTTATACGATAATAAAAAAATGCATAGTATTGATTCATAATTGGATCCCAAAGTTACCATTCATTATCCTTATCGGGGCATAAATATTACGTAAAGTATAAGCCTATCGCCGAGTTTTAGTAGTAAATAGCTACAGCTTTAGAAAAGCGAATAATTAATGACAACGTTTGGAGGTGTACAGAATATCATACTGCAAATTGTAGGTAACTATTATACGAAATAAGTTCTGACAAAGAGCCAAAGAAACACTGTTCTGTTCCCGAAAGGCCACTAGATATATACGTAGAAAGTAACCAATACAATATAAGATTGAGAAGCTTCATCAACAGAAGCAACACTCCAAATCCTATCCATAGTGTCTGTCCGTTCGTTAAATTCAGTATCAGCTGAACTTCCATCTGTGGTTCGGGTGTACAACATAATGTATGAACAACGGACATCTCAGTCATAATCTTCTTATGAGTTAACTTTTCTCAAAGCAATTCTTGACGTTAAATCTGTAGATGACGTCGAGTCGCGATTGATTATGATCACCACTACAATAAGATTACACGCCAGATAACGACTTGGATCCCTCCATAGGCCGAAAACCAGAGGGCACTTATTGGTGATCTCGTGGTATCGAAAGAATACCAAGACGTGCCAAGGATTATAGGCAAAATGGCAGAGAGTAAGAGCGTTCGCACGAACAAGATGGACAACGGAAGGAAAAGTGTATTTGGTACAGTTAAACAAACAAGTACAGTAAAACAATCACTGGTACAATTGATTATAATAATAATTGTTTCCATCATACCGATCGCGTTCTCGTTATGAAAAGTAGGTTACTACAAATTCACCCTGATCACAGAAGTACGGTAATACTAAGGTTTGTCTGACTTTGAAAACAGAAAGCACGTCGATAATTAGACCATTAGTGAAAATTAAACTACGTTGACTTTTCATTTTATATTTCAGTAGAAATTTCTTTGAAGCCGTGACATGATACATAGAATATACACCAAAAAATGTCTTCCATTTGAGAATGTTATCACTTAGTTTAACTCTTTTATCGACAAGCTTTATATACTAACTTTTAGTGTGCAGCTTCCATGAACTTAATTTCATTCCTAATGTTAAATATTTTAAACTAATTCTGTACATTTTCTTTAACCAGTTACATTGGCGGACCAAGTATAGTTGACGACGTAAAATCAGAAAGACCAAACACCAGAGTTTAGTGAAAGAATTTATTTCAGATAAAACTATGCGATCAAACAAAACTTGAAACTACATAACAAGGAATAAACTTTGAGAGAATTGTGTTGAAAGTTCTCAACTAATGAGTAAACACACAATCAAAAACTCAAATATATAAAATTGTTAAAACCTCAAGAATACGTCCAAGATTGCATTCAATGATGATATTTTCTCAGTAAATGTATCATTAATATAAATCATAATAGTAAGCAAAACTTTATCTGATAACTCATCACTTTCTTAGGGTTACGAAATAATTCTAGAAAATGCTGATTGTAAAACAGTTTTTCACCATATGTCACTGACCCTCTGTGCTCTAAATTCCAAAATGTACCAGTTCATACTGCTGAAATGAGTACACGATCCCTAGTAAGTGCTCAAAAATCTTCGACAGATGACAACAATTTACATGAAATAATCATTCCATATTTTATTGTTTGACTAAATGTTTTAGCAGACTGTATCTACAGCATCATATTCTATTCTAATCACGATAATATTGAATTATCTATAGCATTAAAGGTGAGACAGTAATTATAAGGAACCTTAGAGCAATATAGAAGTAACCTTGAGAAACTATGGTCAATTATTCAGTTCAAAATAGGGGTTTGAATTAGTGTACGGAATAATAATTAGAGGTTATATTTAGCGGCTAATGTTATGAAGTACAGTCATGGTTTTCATCACAAACTGACATAAACTATGATGCGAGAAGGCTATTTAGGTAAATGGGTGAATATATTTCTAGATGAAATTTAGGATTCGCTTTCTGAAACCTGATTATTTCTTTCAGAAATTATAGTCCTGCTCAATCATGCGGTTAAAATTAATTTACAAACGCGATGGTGTTTAGAGCGAACGGAACTGGGTTCCAGTCTCAGAGTGAACATTGACTCTGGGATACAGGTACATCTAACTGACAAGTCTAAAATAAGGTGGAACGAGCGTTCTGGATCCCACTGCTATCCACCATCCATCTTTGCTTATACTTTGCATACGTTTTTAAGAAACTACAACCTTTCTAATCTATTCTGAACTATTTCACTTCATACTAATTATTACATTGATAACCATACAGATAATTATCTATCTATCTAGTAATATTAAACGGTATTGGTCAAATAAATTCAACTTTTATTTTGGTTAATTCATTCACATATTTGACAATCAACACCCCACCAATCAAAACATCGATAAAAGCATAGTTGAAATTGATTTAAGAACAAGTTTTTGTGTAAAATGAAATATATGGTTAGTTCATCGTCTACTTTGTATTGTAAGTGTATGCGAACGCGGAGTGAATGAATATATGCAATAAGAAAGTTCTATTATTTGGAGAAGCTAGTGAATTAGTTGGCTGCAAAGAAATTACAATACAATTTCCTTTATCGTGTACTAACAAAACACTGAAAGATATCATTATTGAACAATTAGTCAAGTACATAGATGCAAATAATATTCATTAATCAGATTGGAACCCCTCAAAGATTCATTAACAGTTGCAGTAGATTGGAAATATACAGATATTAATACAAGTTTAAATCAAATATCCATTGAAGAGATTGAAGAACTTGCTATTTTACCACCGATTAGTGGAGGTTAGAAAAAAAGCCTAGTAAAAAAAGAACAAACAACCATACCATGGTAAGTACTGTCGATTATGTTTATGTAAAGAATTCTCAATACTTAATTAAAATATCTATTGAACCAATTGAATATTCCAATGTATTTGATTTAATCAATGATTCTTCTTCTATTGGATCCATTTCTACATTTTTCGGTAAGAGATCAACATAAAAATGAATCAATCATTATGATTTGAAAAGATTCCAATTAAAAACTATACTTTTTTATCTTAGGTATTACTAGAAGATATAATAATGAAAGAATTGTACAAGCTTTGAAATATGAATGTTATTTAAAAATGGCTTATTTAGAAATGGATAATATTATTAAAAATTCTTATAAATTATGGCCATCATTAGTAGATGTAGTTGTACTTCATAGATATGGGTAAGAAGTGATTTGATTTCTTTTGTTTTTCTTTTCTGTATTATGCATTAATGTTTATTTTGGTAATGAAAGTAGGCCAACGCATACATAATATGTATCTTATTTACTAGTGAAACTACAAAGTCGCGTACTTACTTATGCCTGTTACCCCTCGTGGAGGAGCATAAACCGCCCACCAGCATTCTCCATACAATCCTGTCCTGAGTAATCCTTTCCAGTTCTTTCCAGTTTGCATTCATCCTTTTCATATCTGCTTCCATTTCCCGGCGTAATGTGTTCTTTGGCCTTTAGCTCTTCTAGAGTTACTGCCAGTCCAAAGCTCGGATAAAGGAGGAGGGTTGGACATGGGGTTAGCGACCCCATCCTTTAGAAAAACTAACTCGCTAAAAAAAAGATAACCAGAAAAAAATACAAAGTAGACTTTCGTTATTTTGAACATTCTTTCAATATCAGGGTTTTGTGATTACAAATGCCTAAACAGCAAACTCTTAACTCTACTATGATAGAGCATTGAACGATTGGCTTGAAAGTGATTGTTCGAGGTCCTACAAGATTGTATCTATACAGTAATACTTAGTATTATCAAATACTTCCTCAAACAATGTTATTCATGAAGTATTTCAAATATATTACAAAAATGTAGTATATGGAGAAAATAACTTGTTTCCGGTTGTGTTTCCTGTTGTAACCATGATATGGTATCAACTGATTATTAGCAAATTTCATACAACCTTTCCAACTTATAAACTTGAATAAAGAAAAAAACAATTATCGTATCAGAATAACATGAATTCATTTATTTTGTGGACTCTACCCAGCTGCTTGTAAACCTAAAACAATAAACTTTAATGAAAATTCTAGTATCTTAATTCTTACTTCTGAGCTTGATGCAACTAGTCTGTATTACAAAATTTCAAGAAGAAAATGTATTTATTTTTTGTTTCCATCCTTTCCTAGAATATTTGTATATTTAATCTATAAATAAGTGAACATTTAAATAACTGTATTTCTCAGAAGGGGTTTTGTGGAGATTTAGTATTTTCATAGCTGAAAGCGTGAGTCAATTGAAGCTAGATCACCAAGGGCAATCTGGAAGCACTGAATGATAGTTCCGTTCTGCTGTGGGACTCCTAAGCAGTGCGTATCCACGATCCCTCTCCGCGAGATTCGAACCCAAGACCTACCATTCTCGCGCCAGAGCACTTAACCGATAGACCACTGAGCTAGCGTCCGATGGTGTTTATGTCTAACTGCTGAGTAGTCCCACAATAGGACGAACGGCCGTCCAGTTGTTATATCTTGTGACCGAGTGGATACCTAGTTAATGTGTGATTTAATGAGACCGCCAATCAGGGAGCAGCGAATTATCGATTGGAACAGTGACACACGAAAACCGTACGAGCAGTCTAGAGTGCTTATCGATCCTGCTTCTGCCTAGCCCAGCCAGTTAAGTCCAGAACACCAATAACAGCCTCTGTAGTATGAATCATTATTCACAAACATACTGGGTTTATATACCAACCAAACAGACCACATCGTACCAAAGAATAGAAAATAACATTTGTACTATAATTGGCCAAATGTGGCTGTTAATAGGGGGAAAGTAATCGATAGACTGATGATAACTCAAGAATCGTATAATAATAGTTCAAAGGTCAAAATAAAGCTAATGATAAGAGGAAACGAATATGACTAGGTCAGTTACAATAGGAAATATACATATTACATTGGCCAATAAATAGTCCTCAAAAGTTACCATTCACAATTCTTTTTGGGATACAACACCAGTGCTTTCAGGTTTTCCTTGGTGGTCTAGCTTCAATTGACTAACACTTTCAACTACGAAAATTATATTTCTTCCATATTATGGTCACATAATATTATTCTATTTCCACATTTTAACTTGGTGTATTCTAAACCTTTCTAATAAAAAGTATGTACATTGTGTTTTATTAATTGATACTATGGTTTTAAGTTGTAGACGGTTGAGGAGAATCCACAAAATAAATGAATTCATATTTTCTATGTTAATTAACATTCCAAAACTTGAGTACAAATAAGATTTTAGTTAAACTATGTAGTAGCATAAATGATCTCATTTAAAGAAATATACTCAATACACAGTTCTTTGTTCAAAGAATCAGTCATGAAAGAATAATATTAGACATTGTATAGTACGTATTACATATATCTTAGAATCAGAAGGGGATTTGTGGAGATTTCAGTATATTTCAAAGTTGAAATCATGAGTCAATTGAAGCTAGACCACCATAGAAAACCTGGAAACACTGGACGGCCGTTTCGTCCTATTATGGGACTCCTCAGCAGTGCGCACCCACGATCCCGCACTCGCGAGATTCGAACCCACGACCTACCAGTTACGGGCCAGAGCCCTTAACCGATAGACCACTGACCCGGCATCCAACGGTGTTAATGTCATATCTTATTTTCGGTCATTTATCTCCTCTATAAGACAGTCGATCAATATGAAAAGGCAACATATATTTTCTGTTCAATAAAATATCACCCTTAATTGTATCAAAATGAATTATAACTAGTATAATCATTTTCAGAAACAGGTTAATCCTCCTACATCATACATAAATTTATTTAAATTGGTGTTCACACTGAGACACATATTTAATCCCTTTCGCGTTAAATGCTCAATGCGTTATCCGCTGAGCTACCAAATTCAGATAGCCACAAACTTATTCAAGATGTATGATGTTGATATTATTTTTAGTAAGAGTTAAAGTTATTTCATCTTTAATATTTTCGACTTAATTTTGATCAGTTTGAAGTGAAAAGTACTGAGTTAGAGTCCCGATTTGAATAATAATACTTGGGTACATGTACGTCAGGGTTGTAAGTCCCAAATCCGATGAAACACGAGTTCTGAATTCTATTGCTAACCAGAATTTATGACGTCGCTACTAATATTTCCAGTTTCTGCTTTACATACTGTAGATAAATAATACTGGAATAAATATATAAAAATAAAAACGTTAATCTAGGATTTTAGCCATTTAGTTTGATTTCTTGTAGTTAAGTTGATACATGCAGACATAGTTAACAATTAAATTAACTATATCTCAGATAAAACTCTGGAGAGTATCTACTTCAATCCATTGTTTACAAAACAACTAAGAACTCCCGCTGAATAGTGGGATTGATTTCAGGTTCAGTTGTGTATAAAATTATGGAACCTTATAATGTAAATATAATATCTTAACGATTAATTTTACACAATAATGTGAAAACCATTTTTTCGTGTTTTACGCTTACGATCAAATAATTGAATCAAATATTAGGATAGAAATGCTAGTAAATGCTATTGAGCTTGAACATATATTATTTACACTAATGGGTTACTTAGTAGTAATCAGTCTTACATTATATACTCTCTAGTATTGTTTCAATTCAATCGTTTATTTTGGAATGTAACAGCTTAACTAAATAATTCTGCCTTTGAACCCACTTTGTTTGATGTTAATTGGTTAAAGGTAGTCGTTAGGATGACATGGAAGTGAATTTTTTGATAATAAATACTCATTACCATGATGTAACTTTAATTTCGAAGTAATCAATACTCTAAATGAGGTTCATGCCTAACCCAGTCAGTCTCACAATAGGAGATATTACCAAACTGTCTTTTCCTCAGCTGAAAGATTTAGAAGTTAAAAATATTTACCAGTGGGTTGTTAAGTAATTACTAACGTCATATCATGTGTTTACCATATAAATTTACTTAAAATAGTTTTGAAACAGTAATAGACAGTTACTATACATATCACTTGTGTCCTATTGTTGTTTATGTAACATTTTTTCCAGCTAAAATAGATATTTCAAAATGGTATATCACCTACGAACTTCAAACTCATCTTGATTAACTTCTTTATTAAGTTTGTGGTAAATTTGACTCGATAACCCATCGGGTAATGCGTCAGAATTTTTTTATATGATAAATACTAGGTTTAAATCTCAGCCTGAATATTAACATTGAAATATACTTACGTACGGTCGACAAGACCCAAATATGACGAAAATCTCAACTTAAATCCCGGTGTTAGACATTATTCAAAAATACAAATAGGGTGCCTTTGACGTGAATATGTGAAGTAAAACTGCTTATGTCATACTGATAATATTACTTACTTACTTACTTAGTGTATGCTACTTATGTTAACAGATATAAGTAGTATGTAACATCAGTTGAAGTGCAATGCATACCAGTGGATTATTAAAAAAGATTCAATTTAAACAGAAAGGAAAATAAAAAGTAATTACAATGACAACAGAATTGACAAAGGCGGGAATAACGTAAAAGACAACTGACGGAAAATGTGCAAATGATGTATTTTTAATGTATGGTTTTCATGTCTTATGAAAGCTCTCTGTAATTTTACACTGAACAGTAAATTGGTTCTCCCCATCAAGTTTTCGTTCACTACAATATATTAACGGTGGAATTTCATTTTTGATTATAAGCACTATATTATCTTAATTATACTGTTGTACTATTCTCATATTTATATTCACTTTGTTTAGAATTGTTCCTGTTGGAGAAATCGGTGTAGCAATAGCTGTCAG